CTATGAGAAGAGTAACACGTGCATGAAGCCCTCAATGTTTCAACTTTTTTGGGACGTTGATGCTAGAAATCTCAAGAGAATTTGATGAAATGCAACAGCATCAAACTCATGCTTTCAGAATGTTCTGGAACCTAATATTCAAACAAGTGCATATCTCAGAACTTCAATGATGAAAATAAATAGCGGGCAAAACACAAGCATGAATCAATCTTGCATCCATGAGCACACAAACATCCAATTCATGTGCATGTGTGCACATAATTTGCATGTTTTTGTATAACTTACAAAATCAATAATGAAACAGCACTAACCATGCTTTCAGATGTTAAATCTTTGTCATTCTTTCCAGGAGCCTCCAAAAAAAAAAAAAAAGAGTTAATCAATTAGTGACAAAGAATACAAGTGTAGAAAAAGAAGACAACAGATTAAATAAATAAATGAGAAGCACACAAAAGGCTTTAATTTGATAATCCAGCAGTAATTACCTTAAGGTAGTCAAACAGTATGAGACACTGCACAAGAATATGGCGACGAAAACTTGGATCTTTTAACTGGAAAATTAAATATAAAAAAAGTGATACGCTAAACATTAGATCAGGATGTTCTTTATAAATTGTTCAGCAGTGGTTTCCAACACCTATCACCTCTAAACCCATCAGTGTACTGCTTGTGAGATACTTTATGTTAAATGCTGCTGCCTCTTCCTCCAAATTGTTAGCACCTCCTTCTTCCTCACTCAAAGGCTGAGCTTCGAAGGAATTCAAGACAACCTATATCTCAAAAATTAAAAAATCTTCATTGTAAAGGTAATGCATTTGGTAGAATAAAAGACAAAACATAAAACTCATTGAAAGATAAAGGTCACCATCAAACTCGATGAGAATTTTTGCCACTTGATAGGAGAAAGAGTAAGGGAAGGGTCACAGAAGTACTCCTGAAAATACAAGCAGACAAATTCATCAGAGTAATTAGATCAAGTAGCAGTGAAACAGAAGAAAACACCACTTAGAGAGAAAGGAAAACAACTACCAAACTCCTAATGATAAAATAAAATAGGTCATCCTTTTAGGGGCACCAAAATCCTAATAGTTCTAAGCAAGAGAAAAAAAGGGAAGTCAAATAAGAAAAGCAAACCGAATATAGTAAAGAACTCTTAATTAATTTTCTAATTTCCTCAATAAACCACAAATCTTTAATAGTATTAAGATTCCTACGTAAGAAAATTCTTAAATACACAAGATTTATAAGAAAAACTAAGATATACAGAATAAAAGGTCAAATTAAAATAATTTAAAATTTTCTGTTTTCCCTGCATCTTTTATTTATTTTCCCCATAAGAAGAAGGAGCAAAATGCATGCTTGTGTTTCCTCTTTGAATCAATTATCATGGATAAGTAGTTTCTCACATACATACCCCCAGATTTTGTAAGAGAGTTTTTGACAGAGCATGTTAAGCATGTGTTTTGGTAAAAGAGAATGCAATCCTTTTCTAAACTAACAACGATTGTAGATGCAAGGTCTACCTGTAAACTCCACAAGGTTTTATAGAAGTTGAAGTCAAGGGAAATGGCTGCAAAAAAAGGACAAAGAGTAGTACATCCAATCCCACAATAAAGTTAGAGGTAATGGACAGCACATGTCAATACAAAGTTCACTGAAGTTTTCTGTAGCTAAGATGTACCAGCTGGTGGCTCTTTCTCATATTTAGTCTCATTTGATGTGTTGAAAACTCCTTTAATGTTTACAGCTGCAGCCATTAAGCAAACCAAAGTAACATATTAATCCAACAAAAGCAATCTCTATCAAAATACAAGAGCTGAAAATAAATGCATACCTGAGCGCTCAGATAGTGGAAAAAAGTGTGCCAGAAACATAAGAATTCGTCCACAAAACACGACATCATTTGCCTATAAAGTTAATATATTAGAATCAAACGTTAATGAGACAGTAGGTAGTAGCCCCTATCAAATTTTCCTTTAACCAAAAAAAAAAGGGAGAAGGGAAAACAATTAAAAGAAGAATTTATAATTGTATTATTTTAATTCAGACAAAGGCAAATCTGACTTTGTTGTTCAAATTGCTATGGATGAGCATTCTTCTGTTTGCTTCATTATGAAATTCCAACCTACAAAGATCATCTAAAATAACTTAAACCCGCCAAGAATAAAGAACTGAATCAAGAGCTAAATCCACATTGAACGTTACCTGAAAATCACTGTTGAACAGATTCTTTTAAATGAAATAAAGAGAACAGTTGTAAATCTTCATCCAAAATTCATAATAAAGACCTTTACTCTCTAACGTGATCAGGCCAAACCAATACAAATTCTTTCGTTGGTATAAGTTTGCGTGCAAGAATTATGCTTATGCATGCATTATATATATTGATGGACCAAACTACCTTTGAAAGGCGACGGAGAAGTTGATTGCATGTTCTCAACATTACAAGTTTTCCACGAGCAAAAAGTTCTTGCTATATGCAAAGCAACCATCAAAACAAACACAACAGTTAGTCAAGATAGAATATGCGGGACTGGTGTTGGAGAGTGCAGTCAATATCATGGCATGGATAAGAAGACAAACAAAAATTGGGAACAATTTGAAAGCATATACCTTTCCAAGTATATCTTGCTTACTCTCTATGTAACCAAAAATATCCTTGCAATTTCTCATTGTAGACATTTCTGTCAAATCTTCCAACAACTGGAATATCATACCACCCTCAATATGTTCTCTCTCACATAGATATAGAACAACATCTGGTAGCACCAAAAAGAAGTTTGAACTTTGAAATGTAATAATGAGATAATAAGATATGTGCAAAAGATAAACAACTTGGTGCTGCCACAAGAATCAGAGACCCAATAAAAAAGTCATGCAACATCTACATCATTGGTTCAAGCTCTATTCAAGTCCACCAAAAGAAGTCCTTCAGATTGATTAAAATATACAATTATAAATAAAAAAACTAGGCCATCACCAGGTAGGATACTTGGCCACTCCCTACAGAAATCAGTTACAAATTCAAACAACTTCTAGGAGTCTCGTCCTGGAGAAAGAATAGTTTGCTAAAGAGGGATTTTCTAAGACATTTGTACTTCAGAAGTCTATAGCTCTTGCATCAATCCTTTCACAATCCAAGCAGTAATTAGAGCACAGAATGAGACAAGTAAAATTAACTCAAAGTTGATCTGAATATCACAAAGATGACAGTTTCAAGGATTTGCAAAACTCTTTCAAGCTCCATCACCAAAACCTAGCCTGGGAGCAATTTTGTACGAGTTTTGTTTAACAAGTTACATTTTAAAATCATTAAATTTCTATAAAGAAAAGACAAAAATTTCTATCAACCAGCACTCTGATAGCTTCATACATTTGTATAGTGTGTTGATATGTGTTCAGCTATGTGACTACTCTTGTTTGGTTTAGCTGTTCAAAGACAATCCAAAATGAAACACCAAATTTGTAAGCCAGCTGGACATAGATCAAATTTTGCCTTAGACCCATTCCTGAATAAAGTACAGCGAATTCCACAATTTCTTACAATTCTAAGAGGGAAAAAACTGGTAAGAGAAAAAAACCTCTTGCGGAAATAAGCAATTCTATTTTCCATGGATTCTCTCAATCAACTAAACCAGAGCAAGCCAACACAATAAGAAAACTCTCACAAAACCAATTTTAAGGTCACTATTTATGTAATATTCTGCATCCAGAGAGGAATGCTCAATCTTCCCAGCTAAAAAAGATTTTCTACTACTGAAAAAAGTGAGACCAAAACGGCAATGAAATCACATACTTTTTATTAATATCCATCTTCCACGACTTTGATCCTTGTAAAATACTTTACCAAATTAAGAACAGCATTATTCAGAATCTCAGGCCTGCCCGTGCACACTTACACGTAGAGGGACTAAGTAACAATTAGCTTGACATGTACCTAGTAAACGAGGAATTTGACCCTGAGAGTTTTCGTCATCATCAATTGACTTCCCAGACAACATAATTTCCTCCCCCGACTGTGCAGCAGAAGACTGCAGCAAAAACAAAGGCAAAATCTCTCAGCTCAACAAACAGAAACAAGCAACATGAAAAGAAAATCACAATTATTCCTATATCTGTATATAAAAATACATACCACAAGCTCCTGAAGCAATGTCCGCAGCATATTCTCCAGCAATTGATTCTCATCTTGCACCAATTTAGTTTGCTTCTAAAATCATCATTCAATTAAGAATTAATAAAAAACCAAAAACAAAAGGATTCCAAATTTATTCGTCTAAACATATTGAAATAAATAAAAAAATTGATAAATCACCTGAGGTTTAATAAATTCTTGAACCGTCTTAAGAGCAAAAGTTTCAACAGGCCCAGGCTGCAAGATAGCCCTCCTGAATTCCTCCTAAAAAGCATAAAAATAAAACCACCATAAATCATCATTCAAACAGAAAACAAAAAGGAAATGACAGTATAATATTTATTAAAAATCAACAAGAGCGAGTAAAGTCCTCAAAATTTTGAAAATTTGAAAACCTGTACCTAAAATTAACAACTAAAATAACAATTAGGTTAACGATTATTCTCTATTTGACCATTTAAATTGCAATCAAAAGTTGATTAGATTTCAAGAAATATGAACCTGAAACCCTAACTAAAATGTCAAAAACTACACCAAAAAAAAAAATGCACAGATTTAATGACAGGAAAAAGAAGAAGAAATCGTTACCATGTTGAAGAGTTTAACTACACTGAAAGCCTAAAAATCACGAACCGCACTGGCAAGTGATTTTGGTGCGGTGAGCGCAGTTGAAGGAAAGAGAGGGAAGCAGCTGTGTCGAAGGAGCGGCAGCCCAAGAAGAAAGAAGATCGAACTCTGGACTCCGTACAAAGACAGGCCAGCTCTTTGGTCTTGGTCTTGGTCTTGGTCTTGGTATTGGGCTTGGTCTTGTTAATGTCACAGAAGACTTGCCCGTATTGTTGTTTTCCCTCTGACATTAGGATTTTATACTTTCCGAGTCACAAACGGAAACCAATATCCCTATATATATTCACTCAGCCAGCCTCACAATTCTCAATCCAAAAACTTCCATCGATTCCTTTGCCTTGTTCTGTGGTCTCTGGTCTCCAGCGATCTCTCTTCTCCCAAGCCCCTTTGCTGCACAAGAATGGCTCGTTACGTGATTTTTTCGATGGCCATCTTTCTTGCTTTTTGTATGCTGTCATGCATAGCACAGCAACAACCATGCGCAACCTACAAATTTTCGAACAACAAACAGTTCTCTTCTTGCAGCAATTTGCCTGTTTTGAGTTCCTCTCTTCACTGGAACTACCATCCATCATCCAACAAAGTTGATGTTGCCTTCAGGCATACTGGTACTGGTGTGAATGATCGCAGATGGATTGCTTGGGCTATCAATCCAACTTCAGAAGGGATGATTGGTTCGCAAGCGATCGTTTCTTTTCCGAGAACGGATGGAAGACTTGCAGTTTATACTTCGCCGATAACAAGTTATGGAACGCGATTGGAACAAGGAAATCTTAGCTTTCCTGTCTTGGACCTGTCTGCTACTACTCAGAACAATGAGATGATAATCTATGCAAGCTTAGAGCTCCACGGAAACATCAGTACAGTCAATCATCTCTGGCAAGTAGGTCCAATGTCTGAAAACACTCCAATGATGCATAGTGTTGCTCCATCCAGTCCCAATGTTAAATCCATGGGGAGTTTGGACTTCCTTTCCGGAAGGATTACAGCGACAAGAAGTTCTTCAAGCACAATGAGAAATATCCATGGAATATTGAACACGGTAAGCTGGGGCATTCTAATGCCTATTGGTGCTGTCATTGCAAGATACTTGAAAAGGTTCGAATCTGCAGACCCTTTATGGTTCTACTTGCATGTTAGTTGTCAGCTGCTGGCCTATATTCTTGGTGGACTAGCTGGATTTGGGAGTGGGATATTTCTTGGCGCAAGGTCTCACGGTATTGAACATAGCTCTCACAAGATCATCGGCATTGTCCTCTTCTGTCTTGCAACAGCACAGGTATTTGGTGGTTTGGCCAGACCTGACAAAGACAGCAAGTATCGTCCCTTCTTCAACTGGTTTCACTTCCTTGCGGGCTGCTCAACACTTATCCTAGGTATATTCAACATATACAGAGGATTTGACATATTGCACGCAGCAAAATTTTGGAGGCTGGCCTACAGTGGTGTGATACTAACTTTGCTATTGGCCACGCTACTCTTGGAAATATGCACAAGATGGTGCATGCCAGTAACTAAGCGTTCCATGTCAGATACCGTGGACAAAAACACATCCACTGTCGTTGCAGTAGCTGCAATGGAGGTTTAGATTTGGGATGCACAATGCTGCATTGGAACCTGCGATTTGATTTATTGAAAGAGAAACTTGTTTGCAGCTGGTCAAGGTGCAGTACTGCAGGTGGAGGAGGTTTTGATTGAAAATATTTGATGTATAGCTCGTTTTTATATTGAATAATTATTAATAATAATCGAATCCTTTTATACTGATTATATTAAGCTTGGAACCACTATATGTTTTTTCCTACTCTGTTATATCTTCTATGTAGGACGTCTTCATCAATTTCCAGATCTTTAATGCAGAACATCTTCATCAATGTGATCTTCTAATCTTTATCATTTGAAATACAAAAATAGTGCTCTAATTTCTTATATTGTGATGCGGTTCTCTTGTCCAGCAAGAATAGTTGTTCTTCGTCCAAATTGAAAATTTACAAGGCCGTGTGATACCAGGATAAAAACTCTATTTCTCCCAACGTCTCTCTCCAAAAATTTTCTTGCCATGCTTGATCCGTACTTTCTCCTCTTACTGTTGAATTGAAAATTTGTTCCACTTTGCTCAGTACTAACGAAACTGTTTATCATGTTTCTCCAAGGATGTCTCCAAAATTACGCTAGAGACGGAAAAAAAAAACCATGAATACATTTGGTTAAAAAAGTAAAAAAATAAAATAAATCTATCTTTATATAGTTTTAGAATGAATTTATACTTGAAGATGCTTCTTCCATGTCCATTGTTTCGTTTCGTTTAATCCGCAACCAGTTTAATTCAGCAAAGATGAGCAAATTTTCCAATCAACATGTTTCATCGAACATTGATATATATATATAGATTAGTGTAGTATAAAAGCTTCAAAAGAAACGGAAACAAAATGCTTTCCAAAACAACATCCAAAGAACAAAAATTGAAACAATGAATACGCCCAAAATCGCCATCTCTCCAAAATTTTGCTAGCGTTAATTTGCATTGGCACTATTTGGCGTTGCCATGAAAAGAATTAACATCACAGGCACTCTTACAATGTAAGAAAGACTATTAACTCCATCAGCTATTGTCGTATTTGTCAAATTCTAGCAAGTGAAACATCATTAAAAGGCAAGATTGATGTCAATTTTCCTCCTACTTTGGAACTATACAAGCATCTGAAAGCAATATCAGATCGATGCATCTCAAAGGATCCAGAATGTCAATTAATCGTAGGTTCAATCACTCGGATTTATCTCTATTCCCTGAAGTTGCTCGCCCTGACTGTTTGAATACGGGAGAGTATTTGTGGTGCCGGATGAACATGATCAGAAGAAAAGTATTGGCAGCCAGAAACACTAAGCCTGCCAACCAAAGCTGGAGGAAAACATTTTTCCCCTTAAATTCAAGTAAATAACCCCACAACAACCAATGGGTCTGAGCTCCCATCCATAGAAGCACACAACTTAAGCCTTCCCACTTCAGCTTCATTCTGCTCCATGGTAGTATTAGAGGCAACAAGCAAAAAAACCATACAAAGTACTGTGCGGTAATTACCTGTCAACCAACATAAATGTGACTTGAATCAATTATGGAACCATTTTTTTTTCCTTAAACACTAAGAAAAACATGATTCTAAGAAAATTTCAAGAGTGTGGATGTCACCAGAAACTTGATTTACCCCCTCAGAGAGGTCCATGAAGATGAACAGATAAATAGATGGAAAGGTTGTTCAACAAACAATTAAAGGAAACGAAGCGAGTAAATCATGCGTTCTGGTACTTAATGGATGATAAACATAGCAAATGGAAGTTCAATAAAGTTGCAATAAGTGACTGAAACGAACCTTATTGAAGGCCACAAAAGCCACTGTCTGCAAGAAAAGGCAGAACGGAAGGTCTTGAGCAAAGCGAATAACAAGAACCAGCTGCACTATCAATTGGGGCAAAAAAGAGATGAGCTTCTCCACTACTGAAAATTCATGTTCAACATGGAGATATATATGATAGAAATAGATGGAAAAATTGTGTCTTGGATCTGTACGAGTGAGATGGTACAGCAACGCCTCATTTAAAAACTCCCATCTGTATAAATAGAAGAAAAGACCAGTACACAGAATGAAAACAGATCCTGAGATCATTGCAAACATAATTCTCCCTCTTGTAAATATGGTTTTCAGTGCAGTCCATACACCATGTACTTCAGATACATCTTTGCGACTGTGAGACGCGTTATCTTGACTAGATTTCCAATTCACAAGACATGGCTTCTGACCAGATTGGAAGGAATGCGGATCAAGAACCAGAACTATAGGAAGAGCATAGATTATAGGATAAATCCTGAAATGGACAACCAATCCATACCAGAATGCAGCTTGGACCACATTACCTGCATGACAGAAAATAGCACGGTATCAAGAGAATTGGATATCTAGATGTGCTTGCACCGTGCAAACCAGTCACAGGACACATCATGAAACATTGCCTCACCCTCCCTTATGTGCAGGACAAAAAAAAAGAGAAATGAAGAGGAGCCAACTACCCTAACAACCTAATTTTTCTATATGCCAACATTAAAGCATTTATATCTTAAGAATCTACGGGGAAAAAAAAACCTGGGTAAAGAATTGTCATGTTAGCAGTTGAAAAAAAAAGAAGAGAAGGTAGCACTTAAAAGTGAGCAGAGCACACCCTAAAACACTACAAAGAATCTAGCAAAACAGACAACATATCACTATCAATTGGCATTTTCTTTTGCATCTATATGTGTACATTAAAGCATTTATATCTTAAAAAACCTTGACTTTATCAGATAGAAACACATACAATAAACAGGTTACATCTATCCCAAGAGAAACCACCATACATGATCCATTTTTCAACAAGAATACATAAATAGAAGTAGAAATATACCATTGATAAGACAGATAATGATCCATAAAATCATGGCACACACGATAGGCTCGCAGTTCCCACGGGTTCCAATGGTGAAGGTAAATGGATTCAGCAGCCATGCCATTACAGAATACAAGCACATATCCTCAGGGACCTCACGTTTCTTCAAAATGTACTGAATAAATGACCCCACGAATAAATCTGTAAAATCAAATAACATAAAGCTATGATTTAAAAAGAGCCCAACGTTTAAAACCAAAATCCAAGCTAGAAAAACACACGAGATCATTTCAAAGTTTGAATCTTTTGCATAAAACTATTAACTAAAGTACTCAGCTTTCAAAACCAAAATCCAATCAAGAAAACCACGGTAAACCAATTCAAAGTTTGAAACTTTTTCACTTTACCTGCAGCAGAGAAGATGAATTTGCCCCAAGAACGATGAATAAAAGAATTGGGTGTCAATAAAAAGGCAAGCAAAGGTGAGTATCTATAGGTAGTTCTTTTATAAGGAGATTCACCATTAGCCATTAATGAAGCAGCATCAGAAAATACAAGGTAATCTACATCTGTGTACCTAACTTCCATGTGGGTATCTTGCCATTCTCCGTACACAATTAGAATAACACGAAAAATGGCTGAGAGGAGAAGCAGGGTACGGATTTTTAGCCATTTCATGCTGAAATAGAGGACAAGAAAGATGATCTATGGGGTCAGATGGAAAATATAGAAGTTGAGTGGTAAGAAATGGTGTGTACGCTGTCACTGAAGTTAGCAGGGGAGGTCTATAACATTGGGTGGTGTGTGGATCTTGAAAGCCTGGTTAGGACTGCTGTCATGTGTCACTACAGTAACACAATTCTGAACCCGAAGCTGAATATGTTTGTTTTTCTAGTTTTAAAAATATTTAAAAAAAGTTGAAATTTTTAATTTTAATTTATATTTGTTATTTATATTGTTTTTTAATGAAAATAAGTTTTTTAAAAACAATATATATTATTTTAATATATTTTTAAACTTTTTTATCCCTAAATTTTTTGGGATTTAATTATAATTAAAAACTAATTAATTTTGATTTATTATTAAATGATGTGATTAAAAGAAGATGGATGAAAATAAAAAGGGTGCAAAAACATGAGTGGGTGCTATGAGTTTTGAAAAAATATATTTTAGTTTTTAAACTTAAAAAATAATATAAATTATATAAGTTTGATATCTTAATATTTTTTTTGATTTAATTGTAAATCCCAGTTAAAAAAATAGTAACATTATCGAGGAATGATAATAAATTTATAAAAAAAAAAAAAATTTATGCTATAACACGCAACTTTTAATCTACAATATTTTTTTTGATTCAATTGTAAATCCCAATTAAAAAAATAGTAACATTATCGGGGAATGATAATAAATTTATAAAGAAAATAAATAATTTTATGCTATAACACGCAACTTTTAATCTAGTCATCGGATTAAGTTGGATTTTTGTATGGAGTCTTCTAAAATATTTCCTTAATTTAGGTTAAAGTTTAAGAATTTTTAGAGTTTAATAAGATTTTTTAAAAGTTAAGTGCAATAAATGAATAAAAAATGGCACAAATGGATGTCTTGAAATTTCTCTAGGGACCAAATTAAAAATTGACCCAAAACAACCCTCTATATAAGCTATATAAGCTGTCAGTGGTGCAAACAAAAAAAATAATCAATTAAATTAATATTATATGAAAAATATGATGAATTAAATTTAAATTAGAGGTATTAAATTTAATAAAATGATGAGATTGGAAGAAGTTGAAGTATTATAGTACCACATTAGAAAGAACGAAGAAAAACTTGGGGACTAAATAAGCTAATGTATGGTCGGTAAGGATTAAAGTGCAATTAATGAAAATTTGCACTATAAAACCTTGTTCTTTATAGGTGCTCGACAATGATTCAAAGAAAAATGGGGGTATAAGAGAGATTGAAGGTTCAAAAAAACAATAAATAACTACTAGTTGAACACCACTAGTAGGTAGATGTCTGATATGTTAAATTTTTATGGAGAAATTAATTGAAAACATGTGTTAATTTTAATTAGAAATTCTATATTTTTATATTTTGATATCAACGAGCAAACTAACGCCTGATAATTAGACAAATTAATTAATGTTTCTACTAAGAAATTAGTATCTACTATTTTGTGTGGAAAAACTAACATTCCTGTTGAGGTACTAGTGCCCAATAATTAAATGGATGAGTTAGTATTTTTAACGAGTGACTGATGACCTAAATAGATAGAAGGGTTAGCATACTTGCTGAGAGACTAGTGCCTAATATATAGGTGGATGAGTTAATGTCCTTGGATGTATAAAATATTAATGATTCATTATACACACACACATGCACACACATCCTATCAACACAATCATCAAGAAATGTAATACATCATTTTCTTATATATATGTATTGCATTTCTTGATAGTTATGTTAATAGGATATCAATTTTATTTCTAGGACCTTTACTATAATAGAAAGATTTTGTTTGATTAATAGATTTTTGTTATATGTTTATGTTGATTAATATGTATGATTAGATGAACGGATGAAATAAAAGATGTTAAATGAATCCTTTTGCTTGTAGAACAGTTTTATTTTATGTAATTAATATGAATGTCATGGTTAAGATTTATTTTTGCATGCTAAATTAAGTAATTGCATTCTATAATGTTTGCTTATATGATTAGCAATGTTATAATGATAAAAACCGTAAATTTTGAAATTTATCTAAGAAATTATCCCAAATAAAATAATAAGGATATTACATTAATTTTGATATAAAAATTTATTTTTGTTATGTTCCAGTCTCTGATTAAGAGAGAAGAGATAGGAAAGAGGTTGTTGTATTTCAATGATAGAGAGAGAAATATCTTGTTGATACCAATTCATGCCACAAAAAACATATAATATTTGTGCCGAATAGTTTTATTTGATGATGGAAGTTCATGTTGTATTTTTTACCTTTAATTTTTTTTTAAAAAAATACATATGAGCTCGAGTTGGTTTATGATTTTGAGTTGATTTTAATTTTCATGATTTTTTAGGTTTTTTAAGCCATTGATAAATTTATCATAATTTCTAAAGTGTTTTACAAGTTTTTTTTGTCTAAATGGATTGAAAAATATATTTTTAGGTAAAAAACCTCAATTTTATTTTTTTAGTCATTACAACGACTGAAATATTGGCAAATTAGAAAATGTATCATTTCACCGTACTTATATGAAAATATTTCTTATAGGTGCAGTGAAATGATGTATTGCATTTTTTGATGATTATGTTGATAGGATGTCAATTTTATTTGCAGCCATTATAATGGCTGAGATATGGGCAAATCAAATATTGTTTTGTTCAATTTTTTTCAAAAAAAAGTTGAGGAATGACATGTTGTTGACCTTAGTTGTAAAAAAAAGAGGCTTAGTTATGCTGCTTAGCCAAGAATGACTAGTAAAAATATAATTTGACTCCAAATAATTTTTAAAGGTGAATTGTTTTTATCAATTTTGAAACAATAATATATTGAATTGATTCGAATTAATCTTCCACTTTATATATCTGGTTATAAAATAATGATAACCTCATAAAAAGCAAAACAAACAAATTATAAAACATAATTTTCAATAACCATAGTGTTGAATGATGAAATTAAAAAAATTAAAAAAATATAAAAAAATAATTTGAGTCAGCCTTAATTAACTTATAGTGTTGAATGATGAAATTAAAAAAATATAGAAAAATAATTTGAGTCAGCCTTAATTAACTTGCTAACTCCGCGACTCAAGTAATAAGACCGAGATAACCCAATAACACCGTGAACTAACCCGAGTTATCTTGCTAAACCCGTTACCCGGGTCATAAGATAAGGATAAACTCATAAAAAACAAATCAAAACAAATCATAAAATTTAATTATCAATCTAGCCATTATTAAATGATGGATTCGAGAAAAAAATCAATTAGAAAAAAGAGAAAAAGTTTAAGTCAACTAAATCAATCTGTTAAATATAATGTTTAATTCATAAAATTAAAATAATTTTATAAAAAATAAATTAAATAAATTATAAAATTTGATCTTAAAAATTTAATACAGAATAATAAATTTAAAAATTTAAACTAAAAAAATAAAAAAAACACACCAAAAAAATAAAAAAAGAACAACATTTCAATGGACTATGTTGTACGAGGAGGGACCGTCATAACCTCTCATCTTTTAGGTTTTTTTTTTAATTGTTAATTTGAGTAGATAATTGTTAATGATCTTTATATGTTTAACCATTCAATTTCGGTTTTTATTTCTATCTTCAAAAATAAATAAATACATAGATATCGGCTTTTAATATTTAAAATAACAGTTAATAACAATTAACTATAGTTACAATCTCATTTAATGACAATTTGAAAAAAAAAAAAAAAAAAACAGAAGGAGAGATCACGGTGCCATTTCACTAACCTACTGGCACGAAACGACAAGCAAAACAAAAACAAAAGCCTTAAAATGGCCCCACAAGCCATCAGCCACACGGGTGGGCCGTTCACAATTCCCCAAAAAAAAAAAACAAAAAACCCTAACAGGCAACTCTATCTTCAATTAACTCCGTTACACTACCGTAAAGGCGAATCTTCACCTCGAAGCGAATCTCGTAACGGTGGGAAAATTTTGGCGGTAAAACAACCTTCCTATCATAACGTGTCAAGTCCCCATTGGTTCTCCATGTATGTATATCACCATGTCATGTATGTATGATAAAAAGCCTTGTTAGATTTTCCCGCGCTAGTGATAGAAAGAGAAAGGGAGATAGAGAGAGAGACCTGACTGATAAGGGTTTCCCCAAGAAGAGGTCTCACAGAGAGAGAGAGATAGAGAGAGATAGAGAGAGAAAGAAGGAGGGAAATTTTTAATTTTTAATTTTTAGGGTTTCACGAGTTAAACAAAGTCTTTTGTGGTTTTTTGAATTCGATCTGGTAAAAACGGTGGCTTTTTTTTCTTGTGGAATTGAAAGGTAGAAGGTTTTGTTGTTGGATCTGTAGATCAGTGAGATTTGAAAGATCTGGAGATAAGTATTGTAAGTTTTCTTTTATCTTGTTTAAATTTGATTTTCTTTGGGGTTAATATTTTTTTGTGTGTGCTTAATTGTTTGGTTAAATTGAATGAGATCTAAATTGGGTTTTCTTGACATTATTTAAAAGTTGTTTTTCTTTTCTTAAAAATTTTCTTGATTTGTTTTTGGGTTAAAGAGAGCTGGAATAGTAGTTACTAAATGCTACCTAATCATGTTTTAGAAGTTCATTTTTGTTTTTTTTTTGAAATTTGGGGTTTAAGATGGAACTGATTTGGAATTGAATTATTGGATTTGGTAGATTTCTAGTTGATTTGTTGTGTTGACTAAGGAATTAGCTAAATATCGGATCTATTCAGTTCAGTTTTTATTGAATGGAAAAGGAGCTAAATTTTTTATAATCAAGTGTAGTGTTTGTGTTAATTAGGGTTTTGAATGAGTCCAGCTGCTCTGAAGAATATGGAAGAAAACAAAACTACAGTCATGACAACCAGTCATTCAAGTAATGATGGAGGGGAAACTGTGAAAGGGTACAGTGATGCGGTTGAAGTTCGATTCTCTGACTTTTGCAAGGTATAGGATCCTTAGCATGCTTTTTTTTCTGAGTGTGTTATGTTTGTTTTTAGTTATTTATTCACTTAAGTTTGTTGATTTGGAATTTAAAATGGGATCTGATGGCAGAGTGGATTAGCATTGGATGAGAACACTTGTACGCAGGCTATTAAGCTTTTCAAAGACACGAAACATCTTCTGATGACAAATGTTTCATCTATTGGGAATGGCACAGTACATATTTTATCTTCTTATTTATATTATTTATGTATTTTTGCTGTTTTTTTTTCATGATAAAAGGTTGAAGATCTAATTGGTTTCAAATTTGATGTTTTAGTCGGAAGAAGCAGAGAGGTTTTGGTTTGCATTTGTTTCTTACTCTGTTAAGAGGTTGAGCGAGAAGAATAGAGATGATGCACAGCAGAAGTCTGATGATCCTGGGCTTACTTTATGCCAAATATTGAGATTAGCCAAGCTAAAGTGCGTTCCATTTTTAATCCATCTGAATTTAACTAGCTCTTCATTCTGAATTTTTCTAATTTTAATCATCTTGATTAATATCTTGCAGCATTGTGGACTTCTTTAAAGAGCTACCCCATTTTATTGTCAAGGCTGGTCCAATCTTAAGCAATATATATGGTGCAGACTGGGAGAACAGACTTGAGGTATTGATATGGTTGAGATTTTATCATATCATTAAGAAGGGTTTATTTAACATTCCCTTTTATTTGCATTGTCTTGTGTATTTTTCTAAGACAGAATTCATCGTTTTATGTTTGTTTCTCTTCTACCAGGCAAAAGAGCTGCAAGCCAATTTTGTGCACTTGAGCATTTTAAGCAGGTGGCTGTTGTTCTAATTGCATTTACAACTGTGTTTGATGGTTTATAGATCTGTCTTGTTTGTTGACTGTAGTGCAGGAATTATTTGGTTAAAAAAGTAGTACAGGAACCATGTTTTCAGGAAATTTGCGGTCTTTGCTGGTTTATTTTGCTTTCCTTCTGATATCTCTAGGATAATAGTACCTCTTTGTATTGAAACTGCTTTTCTGATTGCAATTTTGCTTCTTCATATCACTATTGAACCTGAATAGCATTATATCTTTTTTTCATGGTACAAGGCACTACAAGCGTGCATGCAGGGAACTTTTCTTGACAAGTGATGCAAGTTCTGATAAACAGCCAGCAATATCCAATGAAGCAACACATGTATCAGACCACCATCGTTTTGGGTGGTTGCTATTTCTGGCTCTCCGGGTACATGCATTCAGCCGTTTTAAAGATCTGGTCACTTGCACAAATGGTCTGGTTTCTGTACTGGTGAGTTATGTTACTATACTTCATCAACAAATACTAGATTGCTAGCTTGATAAAAACAAAAGGCGCAAGCATTAATTTTTTTTTTTGAGAAAAAAATTGTGTTGCTCCTTTATAGTTTATACAATACAATAGAAGAATTGTTAGAAATGTTGGGAATAATAATCCTTTTGTCTGTTAAAAGGAATAATGGAAAGAAACACCGCAAATGAAATATACAGACAAAATGTTTCCGGTTTTGTTAGTCATGTCTTGTATTTAGTGGTTCATTACATGAATCTGTTCCAGTAGTAACTTTTAAGACTTGCACTTTTTTTTTGTCTTCATTTATAAGATGATGAAGTATTTCATATCAATTAACATTTTCCTTCAATTTCACAAATATTCATCAGGCTGTTCTGATTATACATGTTCCAGTTCGCTTCAGAAATTTTAGTTTCAATGACTCTCAATGGTTTGGTAATGATCTGGCTCTTTTGACAGTTTTGGTAGATCTTCTCCTCAATTTCTGGGAGAAACTATATTTGAAACTTGTTGATTGGAGTCTTGTTCTTTTTATGTGTTTTTCAGTTAGGAAAGGAGACAAAGGTGTTGATTTGCTTGCTTCACTCTGCAATAAATATGACACTTCGGAAGAAGTATTGAGGAAATCAATGGAAACTACCAATAATTTAATAGCCAATATCTTGAAGAAGAAGCCCCATCCGGCCTCTGAGTACAAAAATGAAAACCTACTGAATATCAACCCAGGTGTGTTTGAAATGTTTCCATCTAGATTGTGACAACTCCCAGTCTCCCCCTCTCCCCTGAAAATCTTGTTGTCTTGGATACAGATCTACATCATCACAACTCTCTCTCTCTCTCTCTCTCTCCTTCCTCTGAGATTCAAGTTCTCTTGGATGCAGATGGTTTGATCTATTATGAAGATTTGATGGAGGAATCATCCCTGCAATCCAGTTTGAATATTCTAGAGAAGGATTATGATGATGCAATTCGTAACAAGGCTGAACTGGACGAGAGGGTGTTTATTAACGAGGAGGACAGCTTACTTGGTTCAGGGAGTGTATCTGCAGGTTCCTTGAATATAACTGGTGCCAAGGTGAATTTTGATGCATAATGCATATATAAACACATATTGTTAAAATAATTTATGATATTCCTCTGTTCTGTCAAAATCTGATCTAATAGGATCATCCATCTGTTTGTGTAGAGAAAATTTGATTTAATATCCTCACCAACAAAGACAATCACAAGTCCACTATCTCCTCATCGTTCTCCTGCATCTCATGCAAATGGAATTCCTGGCAGTGCAAACTCGAAGATGGCAACCACACCTGTAAGCACTGCAATGACAACTGCAAAGTGGCTTCGGACAATCATTTCCCCACTTCCATCAAAACCCTCAGCACAGTTGGAGCGCTTCCTGTTGTTATGTGATAAGGATGTAACTAATGATGTCATTCGTAGAGCACAGATAATATTGGAGGCTATATTTCCAAGTAGTTCTCTTGGAGAACGCTGTGTGACTGGAAGTCTGCAAAGTACAAACCTAATGGACAACATATGGGCAGAACAAAGAAGATTGGAGGCACTCAAGTTATATTACAGGGTTTTGGAATCAATGTGCACAGCAGAGGCCCAAATACTGCATGCATCTAATTTGACCTCTTTATTAACTAATGAGAGGTTCCATAGATGCATGCTGGCATGTTCTGCTGAGCTAGTTGTGGCAACTTATAAGACAGTGACGATGTTGTTTCCTGCAGTTTTGGAGAGAACAGGCATTACAGCTTTTGATCTTAGCAAGGTGATAGAGAGTTTTGTTAGGCATGAGGAATCCCTCCCACGGGAGTTGAGACGACATTTGAATTCCTTGGAAGAGCGACTTTTGGATAGCATGGTGTGGGAAAAAGGATCCTCACTCTACAATTCTTTGACAGTTGCAAGACCGGCTCTTTCTGCAGAGATAAATCGACTTGGATTATTAGCAGAACCAATGCCATCATTGGATGCAATTGCCATGCATATTAATTTTTCATCTGGATGCTTGCCTCCTGTGCCTTCTTTGCAAAAGCACGAGACTTCTCCAGGATCAGGTGAAGTCTTCTCGTTTTTTTTCCTTCTACTAGCAGAGTTTTAGAAATATCACTCATACATGGGTCTTGTATCAATTTTTCAGGTCAGAATGGAGATCTCAGGTCTCCAAAGAGACCTTGCACAGACTTCCGAAGTGTGTTGGTAGAGCGAAATTCCTTCACATCACCAGTGAAGGACCGCCTATTGGGTAATCTTAAATCTAAGCTACCACCTCCTCCTTTGCAGTCTGCCTTTGCCAGGTAAGGTTTGGTAGTTTTAGGGGATACAAAGTGGTATATATGTTGTCTATCTGTGTTTTCTATTTTCCAATTTTGAGTTCTGTGCCTTTCTAATTGTTACAGTCCAACACGTCCAAACCCTGGAGGAGGTGGGGAAACATGTGCAGAAACTGGGATCAATGTATTCTTTACAAAGGTAGTAGACACTGTTTTAATTTGAAATTTTCATTGTTTGACCTGCTTGAAAAAATAACATAAGTTTTTAGGTTACAAATGTGTGTAATTTTGAAAGGCATTTTAGGTTCCAAATGTGTATAATTTTGAATTTGCTGGCCCTTCTTTCTGTTCATTTGTTATGAAGAGCCGTGTAGGGAGGTGTCTTTAGAGCCACTATTCTAGGAAGCCATGTGAAGAAGTATTCTCGGTCAGTTATTTAACATCTCTTTATTCTCAGAACTGTCACACTTGCAATTTCCAATGTGTGATTGATAGGGTACAGGCTCAGCAGAGAAGAAATTAGGGAAAAATTGATGATAAAAAGAAGGGAATAGAGAGAGAGAGAAAGAAAGGACTTGTATTATTTCACTTCATTGAATTCAACAAACTGTACCAGAACATGTACTCTAATACATTGGTATTAACTCCGTCAAAAAGTTGCTAGTTCACTAAAAATGTGCTAACAAATAGTACATGCTACAAATTTACTGTCTTTCTCTTCCTTCTACATGGCTAGTAGATTTACCTCCAGTTGTCTCTTCTGATCAATGTGAATTCATATCTTGATCAATTTTGACTTTTACCTGCAACATTCAATGAATTTAAAGTTTATAACAAAGCTGGGATTAGCTGATCTCCTTGTTGTTTATGGCCAAGCCATGTTTCAAGAGCTGAAAGCTTGGTTCAAAACAGCATCTAGGAAACTTGAACTCAGCTGGATTGGCTATTTCATAGGTTGTGGAGGCATCTCATGGCTTCAAGCTCAAATTAGAGTAGTTCAACTTACCTTTTTCCTTGTGACATTTTCACATATTTCAATTTTTTGATTGATGTATATCCAGTATAAATTTTAAATTAATGGATTTGCCAAAGTGATGATTGCCATCAACCTTAACCTCTTTTGTTAAGGGTATTGATAACGGTTGTTGGATATTAAGGTTATGGTTACTATTGCCCCTATGCTAGGATTGTTAAGTTCCACTCTAGTGCCTTCAAGGTGTAAATTACTAATATATTGCTCTGAAGTAGTTCTTCTTGATCGCCATTTTGCCACGTGGCATCACTTTGGAATTTGATTACAATAAAATTCTGTTTCATTATTATCTCTCTAGCTTGTCACTCTTACATGTTGCATATTTCTTGTCCTTCCTAGATTAATAAGTTGGCTGCTGTCAGAATTAATGGTATGATTGAAAAGCTACAACCGTCTCAGCAGCATATTAGAGAAAATGTCTATCGTCTTTTTCAACTTATACTAAGCCACCAGACATCTCTCTTCTTCAACCGCCATATTGACCAGATCATTCTTTGCTGTTTCTATGGAGTTGCAAAGGTTTGCTGCTAGCAACTCATGATAGTTTGTTACCTGCTATGTAATTGTCCATTTATTTCTACTTCTCTTACCCCGTCATGTTTTTGCCTGCAGATTTCTAAATTGAATCTGACCTTCCGGGAAATTATATACAATTATAGGAGGCAGCCACATTGTAAAACACTGGTTTTCCGCAGTGTGTTTGTGGACTGGTCATCTGCACGCCATAATGGGGTATGTTGACTTTTATCCACTCTTGTTGCAGTAATGTATTGTGGGGATGTTTAATCTTTTGAATTGTCTGAAAACAGAGAACAGGGCAGGATCATGTGGATATTATTACATTTTACAATGAAATTTTTGTCCCGGCTGCAAAGCCTTTGCTGGTGGATGTTGGTTCTGCTGGAACAACGGTGAAAGCCAGCAATGTTCCTGAAGTTGGTAATAATAAAGATGGTATAGTTTTTTCTTAAGAACTTTTCTGTTTCTATAGTTGCAGTTCTTTGCACTTGCAGTTAAGCCATTGCTTATCATGCCTCTCTTTTCTCTCCTGCCCAACAAGGTCAATGCCCTGCATCACCTAAAGTATCACCTTTTCCAAGTCTCCCCGATATGTCTCCTAAGAAAGTATCGTCAGCGCATAATGTGTATGTCTCTCCATTGCGGTCATCCAAGGTACTTCTCAATTTCCAACGATTTCAATTCTACTTTTGTCTCTATTTCCTTGCTAAAGGATTACCCAACATTGCATTTAGACCAGCCTGTCAGAACAGATGAAGCAAGCACGAGGGGAATTTTTGATGACTACCTGTTAATTTTTCCACCGACTTGGAAGTTATATGGCCTATGTGAAGCTTGCTTTCTTGAATGTCAAGACAGACTTTGATAATTCCCTGTTCCCTTTGCATCCGCGTAATCTGTATTTTTTTTTTCCCCTGACTCTAGATGGATGCTTTAATCTCAAATAGCTCAAAAAGTTATTATGCTTGTGTTGGAGAGAGCACCCATGCTTACCAGAGCCCTTCAAAAGACCTAAATGCTATCAATAACCGCCTGAACAGGTATACTTTCCTTATCGCAACATCTACAATACAAGATTATTTATTCGTTGTGTTGTTCTATTTAACTGATGCTTTTATATCATCCTCATCAGTAATCGGAAGGCCAGAGGAACCCTCAACTTAGATAATGATGTTGGGTTGGTTAGTGATTCTATGGTGGCCAACAGCCTGTGTCTTCAAAATGGGAATTGTGCATCTACATCGGGTGCAACTTTGAAATCTGAGCAGTCTGACTCCTAATTCAACCGTGGCATACTTTGTATATCCTAGTTCTCCATCCATTTCTTCGTTTGCTTATTTATACTTAGAAGTATGTGACTCGGGGCAATGTACGAGCAGCGAGTTGTATAATGCATGCCATCACCCCCATGTCTTTTGTATGTTTGTTAGCGCACCCAGTTATTGAATAGAATAGGTTCCAACTAATCTAATAAAGTTGCTATTTTTGCTGCTGCTTGTAGAACCTCTGGTTGGTTTCGTAATGTTCAGATAGAAAGATCTCTCTCTGCCGGATGTCCCATATCTGAACGGTGCAGTTACTGTAAACACTGACATCCTTCGTTAACTCTTTTTTCATTTCATTTTTTTTTAATGGTAATAGGGAAATATTATTCATGAAAGCTAGCCATTTAGAGGGTGGCCGAGAAAGAAAAACAAGGTGAGTTCAAGTAAAGCAGTAGCCTATGATAAGGTAAAGAAGAAATTTACAACGGTGAACAATCAATCTAAGAACATAGCTATGATGATTAACATGGTCGGATCATTTGCGAATTTATTCCGCATCTCTTCGCAAATCATTACCTGCAATATCAGCTAATTTCCAATCCAGCTGTATTTGATTAAAAATTAGGTGGTTCCCTAACCATTAAAAAAAAAACTGTCCATAGTTTCCGAGGCAAAGTAGTTGAATAAGATCTGTTGATTCTATCTCAGCTGCACAAAACGGTCATGATGTTTGCTCCTCCGATGAAAGAGGGTGTCGGTTGAGCATAAAGTCTTCTGTTCACGGATGATTTTGTACAGCTAACCATAGAAAAAACTGTTTTTTTTTTACTGTGCCACTCCTTCCAAATGTTTCAAGTAGATGAGCGAGCTCCTTGAAAAATCAACTTGTTAATCAGAGAACTATAAGACTTCACTATAAATTTTCCATTCCTATCAATATTACAGATTTTAACATCTTCTTTCCACTGTGCAAGTTGAACACCATTCAACTTTCGTTGTAGAGAATTAATCTGCTCCCACTCAGAAGCCCTGACATTCCTTCGTCAAATTAAGTTCCAAGTCTAGGCACCATGTGTCAATTATTCTTCCATATCAGAAATATTTGCAGTCGGTTTAGTAGATAACTTAAAATGGCCTTGCTACTAGAGTATCATCAGGATATCGCAAGTGGGTGATAAAATCTCCATTAATTCCTCAATTGGATGCCTCTAAACATACCATTAGTTGATACTTACTGAAACAACACCGATAGACCCTCCACTGCTATGTTCAATAAGAATGGAGACAATGGGTCGCCCTGACAAATACCATGACCAACACAGAACTCTCCAGTTGGAGAACCATTGACAAGAACTGAAAGCTGTGAACTAGCTAGAAAGACACTCATAAATAAGTCTTCTTACCAAATTACATGTATATCCCATCACTTCATGAAGGTACTCCTACAAGACTATCAAAAGCTCTGTGAAAATCTACTTTGAACATCATAACCGCTTCTCCACTCCTTTCTAGGTCAAAAACGACTTCATTAGCTATTTCATAAACCCATTAATAATCTGTCTACCTGCTATGAATGCTGTTTGACTATCACTAATAAGGTCTCGGATGACACGCTTCATCCTATTGGAGAGTACCTTTGACACTGTTTTGTATATCCCATGAACCATGCTAATCGGTCTATATGTAGTCGGAGATTCCTTTAGATACCTTATATAGTCCTTGGAATCAAGGTTACATAGGCAAGGTTCACACCCTTTGGAAGCCTCTCTGTTCTGAGAAATTGAACCATTAAATCCTTCACATCATGACAGATCAAGCTCCAAGCCTTCTTGTAGAACTTGAAATTGAAACCCTCTGGTCCTGGAGATTTTGTCGCATCACGGTCACATGCAGCTTCTCTTAGTTCTTCCATTGATACTTCCCGTACTAGCCATTTGGAAATATATCTTATACATGAACTTGACATCATTAAATTTCTCATTGTAATAATTACTGGGATAACATATAAACATGAAGAACTCACTGACGGTGTCTACAATGGAGGCTGAGAAAAGAAAACTTTTTCAAGACTTCGTGGAAGAAGAAGAAGACGTGGGGCTTGCTTGCCCTCCTTTCGATGAAGAAGATTTCATGGCTGCTGATGCTTCCTATTCCAACTTGTCTGAAAAAGTGTTTTTCAGTAGACTTAGCAATTACATTCGAGAAACAATTCAACTTAGTAATTTTAATAGTTAGTTGAGATTTTAAAATATAATTTATATTATTTTTTAAATAAAAGTTTTTAGGTTAGAAACATGTATAGATTTATATTATTTTATATTTAATTTTTATTAATAAATAAACATAATAAAATTTAAATTCATGATTATTAAGTCATTGAAGCTCTAATATCAAATAAAAAACTAATTCAATGTAATAAAAATATAGTTCTAAAATATATTTTATATTATTTTTTAATAATGATCATAAAAGTAAGTCATATCTATCTAGCTAGCTACCTGGTTGCTTGATATGATCATATTTATACTGGTTTTTGCTTCAAATAATTTGATTTGATTCTTTTTAATCAGGTTCAGAAGATCAGTTGAAGGATCTTCAGGAAGGCTCAATGCAGTACGGATCAAGCAGAAACGTCATGGTAATGGCAAGGACACGAAGGCTTTAGAGGAGGACAATGCTTCCAAAGATACGGGGACAGAAACAGAGGCTAAAATCATCGAGTCCAACAAGACACTAACAAAAAGGTGCTGTAGTTGATGGAGTCTTCCTTGAGAAGTAGATTAATTTGGAAAAAAGGAAATTTCTTGAAAGATATGAGCAAATGGCGAAGGGTTAGTGTCTTCTAAATTTCTCATGTCTGTATATAATTTTCCTTAAAGCGCCTTGTTAATATTGTACTGTAAGATCGCAATATATTATTCTCATGTTTTTGTTTTCCTCGCGACTACAGAGAAAAAGAGGAAACAGATTCAAGTCCTTAGCATATCATAATTTCCCATAGTTCCTCAAGAGAAATATTGCAGACCTGCGAGGTATCGCGGTGGCTTTGCACCCAAGTTCAAGAGTTTTGCTGGTTGCCACTAGTCCACTAGAAGTCGCAATAAGAAGCAAACAAAGGTGAGATATACGGGATTTGGGCCTAAATGGAAAAGATTAATATATGCATGTATCTCTACTACTCAGTTATCTATTCTTGTTAATGGATCTCCTACACGAAGACTTCTAGATCACCCGTGTTATTCGTCAAGATGATCCGTTATCTCCATTTTTGTTTATTGTTGTAGAAGGTTTAGCAGTCTCGTTCCACCATGCATCAGCGGCTGCTGCAATATGCGAGGATGTCCTTTGGGATGCTGCTACAAGTCCTAGTAATTATATTAGGCTATGAAGAAAACTAAGTCTTTAACATGGCATTGTTGTAGATCATTTGAATAACTGTTTAGAACAAGGAAGGCCTCGAGTACTTTACTCAAGTTGTTAAATCTTGAACACGGAATTCCTGGCTTTAATCTATAGTAGCTGGTGTCAAAATCATCTCGTCTCATTCTTTTTTCTTAAAATACAATAATATCTATTTCTTTAGTAAGAACCATCAAATGTATAATATTCTATGATTTAAAAAAAATAAAATCAACATCTCTTAAATCAAATAATTTTTTTTTCTTGAACACCTCCCATGATATCTTTGCACTTAAACTCTACCTTGTTAATGAGAAAATCATTAACTTCATCTCTTCCATCACTGTTATCATAGTTTATATCATAATTAATATTATAATTATCATTAAAATAAAAATTATAAATTATTATAAAATACCAATCTATATGTATCTCATCAAAAACAAGATCACAAAAGGTCACACCCTTTTCAATCTCGCAGATTATTAATTTTCTTCATGGGTTTGATGGAAAAATGGTATATTATCTCATTAGAAACATAGATAAATAAGATAAAAACATAAATAACTAAGTAAAGGAAAGGGAATGAGAAGTATAAATAAGAGATTAATATAAACAAAACTTAAAGCATTACAATAAAGAGAGAGTAAGAATATGATTTTGATTTGAAAACCAAGATGCCTAAATGCATGGAAAATGCTTCTTTTTATAGGCCAAAATTGAAAACTATTGATTTGATGACTAATTGTTGAGTGAGTGACCAACTCTTGAATTGGTGACAATCCTTATCTTCTTTTCTACTAGATATGTCATTGATAACGTTAGAATTTGAACAGACTTACATCATGAAAGTTCTAGGAAATTGTCTCAGTTTTTTAGGAAAAAAAACTGTGGTTATTTGGACTTCTAGAACTCGAGATATGAGCTAAACACTGAATAGTGTCTGGGCTGCAGGACAGATTCGAACTTCTCCGTTGTTGCTAAGATTTGGACTTCCAAACAGTAGAATTGAGTCTTACCTTTCCATGAATGTTTCCGGCCTAACTCAAAAAATGACGAATTCCGAGAATCAGTCCTTGGTAAAAAAAAAAATCCATCATTTTAACACTTTTTGATTAAGTCCTTGGTAAAAAAAAGACAAACAAAAAATCCTTTGAATCAGTCCCACGAACTTGGGCTATATCCTTCCCGCGATAGAATTTTCTGCCCTTATATCATATATTCAAATGGGAATATCTTGAGCTTCTGATATCAAAATCAAGTGATTCAAAAGTCCAAATTCATCTACGTGTGTAGGACTACAACTTTGATGAAAGAGTCAAAGTGAGATAAAATCTTTTTATAGAACAGAATCTAGTAGTAATTTGGTTGGTGAAAAGGGATCTCGAAGTCTAACTCAAAAACTGACGAGTGCCGAGAATCCTGATATGACTGAGAGTATGAACTAAGAACAAAAATCACAAAAACTAGGCCAAAAATAGAGTTTTTTTAGTGCAGACTTGGGTCAGTATCCTTCTCGCGGCAGAATTCTCTACCTTCATGTTAGATATTCAAACGGGAACATCTTGAGCCTTTGATATCTAAATCAAGTAATTCAAAAGCTCAAATTCATCTACGCGTCTAGGACTACAACTTTGATGAAGAAGTCGAAGTGAGATAAAATATTTTTACAGAACAGAAACTGGCAATAATCTTGTTGGTCAAAAGGGATCTCCGGGTCTAACTCAAAAATTGACAAATGCCAAGAATCCTGATATGAATGAGAGTATGAACTAAGAAAAAAATCACAAAAACTAGGCCAAAAATAGAGTTTTTTTTAGTGCAGACTCGGGTCAATATCCTTCTCGCGGCAGAATTCTCTGCCTTCACTTTACATATTCAAATGGGAATATCTTGAGCTTATGATATCAAAATTAAGCGATTCAAAAGCCTAAAATCATCTAAATGTCTAGGACTACAACTTTGATGGAGGATTTGAAGTGAGATAAAATCATTTTAGAGAACAGAATCTAGCAGAAATCTAGTTGGTCAAGATAGTTCTTCATCTAATAAAGCTGAGCATCCAAATCTGATTGAGAATCTACCCTAAGAAAAATAATCCCTAGGACCTCATAAAGGTGTACGTTGATTTTTCAACATGTAATGAGTGACAAAATATATCTAGGATGGTCAGATATCGTACGAAACTGAGTTAGAATAAGAGCCTAAGTTGGAACAAAAAATTACGACAGCAGCAAAACCATTATTTTTAGTGTAAATTATGAGGGATTTTTTCAACCTTAAAGACTAGATAAAAAAAAATGAATTTAGCATTATGAAGACTCCTGATCAACCTAAGAAAACTGATGATTTTGGCAACAAAAAGGAAGGATAAAGAGAGCAAAAAACAGCTCAAACAGGGTTTCAAAAAAAAATATTTCTTTTTCTGCTTTTGTCAAACTTCTAGCAAACATGAGCTAAACTCCTACACTAAGTTCAAAATAGGTATACACCATCTCCAACATGTAGGGTCCAAAATTGAGTAACAACAACTTACATTGTAAAAGTTCTAGGAAATTATCTCAACTTTCTAGGAAAAAAAACCATGGTCATTTGGACTTTTAGGACTCGAGATATGGGCTAAATACTAAGCAGTGTTTGGGCTGCAGGACAGATTCAGACTTCTCTGTTATTGCTAAAATCTGGACTTTCAAACAACTGAATTGAGTCTTGCCTTCAAATGAATGTTTCGGGCCTATGTCTTAGCTTTCCATCCATATAGAGCAGATCTAAATCCAAGATCTATAGCTCCAGATATGACCCAATGACCGAATAGTGTTCTAGTTTGGGTTGAATGAGAATGTCTTTTCTAAGTTTGGCCTTCTCTTTGTCCTTCAAATTTTGAGTACTTGAACTCATCAATCAATCCTTTCATTTGTGTGACAAGCATGCATTTAAGATGAACAATCACCATAAATTAAATTTATCTTATGGTATCCGACCTGTTATTATAAAAATATTTTAGTTAAGGAGTATTGCTGCTTAAAGTGCAAGATAATGATACAAAACCTTTAAAAAAATACACTTTTAAGTACTAATCACAGGTCCCACCTCTAGGATTTCGAATGACAGCAACTGATGTAGATGGAAACAACACCTTGGTTTCTGGATGTCTTTTTCTCGAGGAAAATCTCCTCATTCCCTTCTATACAAGCTCATCATGTTTGGCAACTACCTCTAGCCATGTTTGTTTTACAGAACACAGCAGAACAAATAACCATCGAGGATCATTGTGCTTTCGATACTACTTGATGCAAGTATAAGTGAAGGAAAATGGATTTATTACATGTTAAAATCTTCAAAGACCAATAACACCATAAATATAGAAAGACTCTTAATATACCAAGTTTTATTCCTCCGTGTCTCGATTTGTCAAAGGCTGTTACGACCCTTTATTCCTCCATGTCTCCATTTTGCCTTGTCTCTTGCAAGATTGCTTCAACCGATCCTACCAATCAGAGCCTAAATCATGAGTTTTTGAGCTTAACAATTATAGGGCAGAACCTCATCGTTTATAAACCATCCTCCTACGCCATGAACATGTCCTCCTTTGCGAGCTCTAACCATGATTATTCGACAACACTCATAATAATGAAAGTTTTTTATTTTTTATTTTTAAAAATCCAAGATAGCCTCAATTTTACCAACAAAAACTTTTCTACATCAATTTTATCCTCATATTCTTTATTTAATTAAGAGCTTCTTCCATCTATTTAAGGCTTTCCATGTGTTTCATGACTTGCCATCCTTATATACTGCATCTATATAAATTGTACTTTTTCTCCCTTTTCTTTGTAAGAAATGAAATCATATGGGGAGAACCTAACCTTTTTTCATTAAATAATCATAACAGAAGTGGCATTTAAGAGAGCAAAATATAGTCTCGAGATAAAATTGACATGATAAATAGTTGGGGTTCAACATTAATACTAATCAAATAAGACGGGGGTATATTTAATTTGATGTATGCCAAAAAAAAAATAGATATCTAGATGTTTTTGGATTTATTTATTTAATTATTGAATCAATCTGTTATAGAGATAAAGTTGCTAAAAAATATGGTTATAAAATACAGGAACTATTTTGATTAAGAATCGATTTCTACAAGGGGCCACCACTGTAATTTAAAGAAAAAATACGAAAGGACACCCAAACCCCGCTAACCACCTTCTAACCCTAACATGATCTATCCATTACAAATTCGGAAACAGAGTTTTCTTCGCGCAGAAGCTATATATCCTCTAGCCTGCTTACCATTTGTAATATCATTCGCTCCCTAGATTAATCTCAACCTACCTCCAAGTTTTCTGCAAGTATTCTTCTCTACTTCTCTATCTCTTCTTGTTAGATTTCTCAATAACTATTCACATGCTATGATTCCCGTGTCGAGTTCTAGAAACTAACCATTGAGATTCATGCATGCCACTATACACCATATTCTTCAGATCTTATGATCTGTCGACAAACATGAAACTATTCAGGTTGAAGTGGCTAGCCATAGCTTAGACAACAGCACTGACAGAGCTTAATTTGGTACGTATTGGAAGGGTTGCATTGACTGTACGTATTGGAAGGGTTGCATTGACTAAGGTTACACGTGAAGGCTTAGGAATAAGTAGGGTCGAATTAATTTTGAGGGGACAGATGCGAAAATATTGTTGCTTCAAAGTTGTATAAAAGAAATCATATCTTACCCTAGTTTTGGATAAAAACATGGTGCCCTATTTTTGGACGAATAGATATGTTGTGTAATAAATGGAAGCTTTGAATATTGTTTCAAAACAGAACTTGAAGAGTATTTGAAACGAAATCTTATATATGATCTTGAAATGATTGCATTTATCATTGCAGTGATTGCTGGGATAGCATATAAACATGAAGAATTCACAGATTGTGCCTACGACGAGGACCGAGAAAAGAAAAAGATTTCAAGACGTGGGGGAACAAGACGTGGGGCTTGCTTTCCCTCCGTTCGATGAAGAAGATCTCTTGGCTGCTGAAGCCTCCTACTTTGACTTGTCAGAAGAATTGTTTTTCAGCAGTGTCCACGATGATCGTAAAAGTAAGCCATACATGCCTAGCTAGCTTCCTGGTGTGCTTGATATTTTATAACAGTTTTTTTCCAACTAATTTGATTTGACTCGTTTTAATCAGGTGCGGAAAGAGTCGAAGTATCTTCAGGAAACCTCAGTGCAGTACAGATCAAGGAGAAAAGGCATGGTAAAGGCAAGGACATGAAGGTTTTAGAGGAGGTCTACAGGCACAAGGACATTAATGCTTGGAAGGATACAAATTCCGAAACAAAAGCTAAAATCATCGAGTCTAAGAAGACGTCGACAAAAGCTGCAGTCGGTGATGGAGTCTCCCAAGAGGAGAAGATTAATTTGGCGATAAGGAAATTTCACGAAAGATATGAGCAAATTGCGAAGGGTTGGTGACTTTCAAATCTCTCACATCTTTATTTTAGTTTCCTTACAGGCAATGCACCTTGTTTTTGTCCTGTAAGATCTCAATATATATTATTCTCATGCTTTTGCTTTCCATGCGATAACAGAGAAAAAGAGGAAGCAGATTCAAGTTCTTAGCATATCAGAATTGCCTGAAGTTCCTCGAGAGAACTGCAGACCTGTCAGGTATCGCAGTGGTTTTACACCCAAGTTCAAGAGTTTTTCTGGTTGCCGCTAGCCTGCTACAGGTCGCAGCAAGAAGCAAACAACAGGCAACGACAAATCGACTCAGGAAATGGAAGGGTGTCACCTGATCAGAAAAGAAAAGATGCAACTACTTGAGATTTCTTGTATAGGGATTTAGAGTATTTTCTTCATTATTAGGATTTAGATTTTCCCATATAATTAATTTTTTTTGTTCGTTTGTTTAATATTGCACGATGTTGTACCTTTCTCATTTTATCAATAAAAAATCAGCAGTATTTTCTTCACATGCTATTAGAGGTAGGTTTTCTTCCTATTAAAAAAATTGCAACGAAAATAAAGTTCTAGATTGAAGAAAAAATAAAAATTTCTAAACTCAATAAGAAAATAAATTTTTTTAAAAAAGCTCTTGCATCAATTTGCTATTTTTTTAGTTGTTAAGAAGCATAAATGTCCCCAACTCGAATTATTGATTATTAGAGGCACTTCAGTGATAATTTGAAGAAAACGGTTCATTAAGACATCAAATAGCATGGGGGTATATCGTGATGTTTGCAAGAAAGAAAGAAAAAACCTAGCTATCTAAATATTTCTGAAATTTTTTATTTATTAAATTAATTTATTATACACATAAAGAAAATAAAAAAATAGAGATAGAGATGCTAATGATATAAACAAAACTAAAAATTGAGGCATAGGCGTTAGTTTGATTAGAGCTTGTTCGGTAATGTTGTAGTGATTCTTTTTTAAAATATTTTTTCCTATATATGCATTAAAATAATATATTTTTAAATCTTTTTTATATGAATATCTCAAAACGATATGAAAAAATAAAAAAAATTATTTTGAAGTAAATAAAAAAATTTAATTTTCTTCCAAATATATTTTTGAAACGCAAAAACAAACAAGGTATAGGAAGTGTTTTCTACAAATTCAGAAACTTTCTACAAAAGCTATCCGTTTACCCTACTTGCTGCTTGGTATACTTACTTTTCCTTCTATTATGATACGCTGCTTCCTAGATTAATTTTTATCTACCTCCAGATTTATTGCAAGTATTTTTCTCTATCCACTAATCCCTATTCTCTTCCAGATATGTTGTTCATACGGAAGCTTTGATTTATTTCCAAAACAGAACTTAATTACAAGAGTACTTGAGAAGAGATCTCTCGTGTAGCTTGGTTCTGACATCTCATATTTTCCAGGTTGATTGAATGTTGTTATGGTCATCATGGGAACTTTGTGGCTCTGGCTTCTTTTATGCAGGGGCTGGAGTTTTAAAATCATTGAAAGTCTATGGGATACAAAGTTCATGGCTTAACGAAGGCATGAGCTTGGGGACAAGATAAACCTCTATCTGTACTCAATGACTGCAATGTGGTTTTGTTTCGTTTTGACTGCCAAACCATGGCTCTGTTGTATCTTCTGTCGCCCGTCTGGGTTGCTCTGTGCCTTCTTAGGCCTTATTCTTCTGCTTATGAAGAAAAAAAACAAGGTGATTGATTCTTGGAAGGAATCATGGTGAATCTCGTCATCTAAGCCGGTCATTTTACGCAGTCCTGTGAGAAACAGAAGAGGCATGTTTTGGGCAAGAATCAAATAAGGGAAGGCGTCTGATGAGCAATGCCTTCCCCTTAGGCGGCTGGTCCTGTCAGAATATTTCCGGCTGGTCCTGTCAGAATATTTCCTGACAGACCCAAGGTTCTGACAGATGAAAGCCTCCTCAGACATGAAAAATTGTCGTCATTTAAGTTTATAGCAAGGACCTCCGGTTCTCTCGACTTTGGTGACGAGACTTCCCAACATACACCATCCATTTATCAGCAAAAAGTTTACAACACGTACATTGACATTTTGAAATACGAGAATAGAAGATACACGAAACCTTGATTCTCAGAGCAACCAACTAAACTATACTAAAAAATAAGTCGACACTCTTCCATTCTTTGGAAGGCAGAAACAAGGATGCATTGAGATACAAATCCCCTAATGGCAAATCCTCTGCAAATTTGACTCGGACGGGAGTGAAAGATAAGGAATTTATTGCAAGCCAAAACCCTCAAAACCTAATAACACTATAAATTCATTGTAGACCAGTGTGGTAACTATGGATGAAATTGTTGCACTGGTGGGGTATTAGTGGTTGTCTTCCTTGCTGTGTGGTTGATGATCTATTACATCAGTGGCCTAAACTGGTGGTTTTGAAAATCCCAGCATGAGGCTTGGTCTATGCTTTCTTTTTGTGTTTGCTGGAGTATATGGCTTACGAGGAACAAGGTCATCTTCAATGATGGAACTGTGACCTTCAAAGACAGCTTCCCCTTGGTTCTATATCGTCTCTCGAATTGACTCAAGTGTGTAGATAAGTTCTTCATGGCTGCTGGCACTTATTTAATTATGGGGACCGAAGGTATTATAAATTGATCTAACAACACCAAATCAAGGTTTCAAGCGTGGCGCATCAGCTCCTTCATTCCTGATGCTCCTTTTCTGATCTGTATCTGTTGGCTTGTTTTCTTTTTTTGTCTGCTTTCTGTTTTTGTAATTTTCTTTTTTCTTATGTTTTTCTTTCTTGTATCTTGCTTTTGGCTACCTTCTGGCTAGCCCTTTCAATGCATGGACTTCTTCCAAGAAACTAATTACACTATAAAGTCTTTAAAATACTCAATTCTATTTCATCATGTCCGTATTTGCCAAAGTACTATATATAATAAAAAACTAGGAAAGCCTAACAATACTCAATAAGAAAAATAAACTAGGGAAAAAGTATTATATTCAAATGGAAGAAAAAACTAGAAAAGTATCATAACAAAGAATACGAGAATAAAAACAGGATGAAATAAAATTAACTAAGAAAAATATTTGTTTTCTAAAAATGCTCTTATATCAATCTTTCTAGTTTAGAAGAAACTTCTTATCGAGTTTAGTTTCTAGTTAGAAATTGTTCTCCATCAACAATCTTTTTTTTTGTGTGCGAGTCACCTCATCGTGAATCCTTTACACTCAAACATTGCTGTTAAGGTTTAGCAGCAAAGCTCCCTCTCTGTCTTGTCTTTTTCAATCCTCTTTCCTCACAATAACGCCAGAATGCAAGAAAGGAAGTTCCCTCTATTTACTGTGTTTTTTTTTTTTACTTTGCCTCATGTTTTTCTTGTCTTTCTCTTTACTGTTTTTTTTTTTCCTCCGTTTTTTTCCCCTTTCCCCCCCTCTTTTTTTAGGTCTTTAAAAGGGCTTATATATAGTCTAAATATGTCTCTATTTAGGAAGGATTCAATGCATTAATCCTAGGACGCAAATCCCTGCTAATTTGCAGTGTAAAAAACACGAAGGAAATTGCAATATTCTGATTTTGTGTTGGTGCTTTACGTCTGATTTCTTTCCAATTTTAGTGGAGGGTATGGCTCATTTCTTTCCTTTCATAGCGCCAGCTGCTCCCTTTGAAATGAGGCAAGAAAAATCATGGTTGCAGCTCCAAAAATCAAGCATGATGATAAAGGAAAAACAACAGGAATTTGCAACGAAAAAAGGAAAGAAATCAGATGGAGGTTGCAGCTGCAAAGTCTCATTTTCCTTATTCGGTGTGGAAAAAATATTGTCATTTATGATGATCCAGTCCCCTTCTCTAGCTTTCAATATCCTTCTTCAATTCAATCCCTCATTTTAACATTTTTCAATTCAGTCCTTGGTAAAAAAAAAATCCTTTGAATCAGTCCCGCGAACTTGGGCTATATCCTTCCCGCGACATAATTTTCTGCCCTTATATCAGATATTTAAATGGGAATATCTTGAGCTTCTAATATCAAAATCAAGTGATTCAAAAGCCCAAATTCATCTATGTGTCTAGGACTACAACTTTGATGAAGGAGTCGAAGTGAGATAAAATCTTTTTATAGAATAGAATCTAGAAGTAATTTGGTTGGTGAAAAGGGATCTCGAAGTCTAACTCAAAAACTAACGAGTGTCGAGAATCCTGATATGACTGAGAGTATGAACTAAGAATAAAAATCACAAAAACTAGGCCAAAAATAGAGTTTTTTCAGTGCAGACTAGGGTGAATATCCTTCTCGCGGCAGAATTCTTTACCTTCATGTTAGATATTCAAACGGGAACATCTTGAGCCTTTGATATCTAAATCAAGTGATTCAAAAGCTCAAATTCATCTACGTGTCTAGGACTACAACTTTGATGAAGAAGTCAAAGTGAGATAAAATCTTTCTACAGAACAGAAACTGACAATAATCTTGTTGGTCAAAAGGGATCTTCGGGTCTAACTCAAAAATTGACAAATGCCAAGTGATATGACTG